GATTGTACTTAGTACATTTACTATTAAAACGTACTGTCTATTCGGAGGATGGGCTGCTATAACACGCTCCACACACTCACAATTCACCTGGGAAGTTGTGAGAGCCTAACCGGAACGGTCCAGCCTCCAACCAGGGATAGACAGCCATCCTCTCTTATAGATATGGATGAACATAGTAAATCTAGTCTTAGTGGCAACAGCAGCAGTAGTAAATATCTACATCAGTAGCAAGAGGTGTAGCGCTTGTATTGGTCTTAGTAGCAGCAGGAAAGTTTTATATATAGTAGCAGAATTATTTGTATTCAGATACACCATCGTCACTTAAAATTTTCAAGCTCCAGGTTTGAATTTTTGTAAAAATCTAGTGTCACTTGGGGGGCATCGTAATACAAGTTGTATGGGATGAGGATGCTTAAGAGATTCAGCGGGGAAGGGAAGGGGGAATAAGTACCAAGTTTTCATACCGACCACTCGGCCACCTCCCACCCCACACCACACTTGCGTGGAGCACCACCACCTGCCACCACCACTTGCCGCCACCACCTGCCACCATCCCCGGTCCAATTCACTATCCAACTACATTTCTACTACCACCACCACATAACCAATTACCCAGTCCAAGCAGCATACAAGTACCTACCACCACCACCACTAGCATCACATCCAAGCACACCACCACCCACCACCACCCCACACCCGGAGCCCACCCCCACCGTGCTGGCCAGCAGGGTGGGAGTGGGCTCCGACATGCGCCAGCAGCACACACACCACCAAGGACCCGCCCTTCACTCCTTCCTACAGCGCCTTCAGGATACGTGGCTGACATGTTCTGTGTCAATACCTTTACCCCTTGTGTTCAGGTGAGTGTCCCCCTCTGCACTCATGGTGGAGAGGACACCAGGCGAGTGTGTCCCTTGCACTCAAGGTGGAGAGGCGTCACCATTACCATATATAACGCTCGTCTCCAAGACCGTCTCGCTCGCACAATACATCATACTAAAAGTTCCTCAGTGCTATTCATACAATTTTTGAATTTCGCGCCAAAATTACCAAATTGAAAGATGCGTGACAACTTCTTCTGGTAGAATATTTGACTAGATTGTATATACATATAATTTACAAGTTTATAAATGTACGTTTTAGCTGTCGCAGTATCCTGCTCGTGATGGCATAAATATATTCTACAAGTGGGAAAACGCTCCCATAGACAGCAGACGCCGCGCCCTTTTTGATCGATTGGCCTCCGCCCCGCGCCGGCCGGGTTGCCACACGCCGCTCTCCCTCAAGACCCCTGTAATATTTGTTGACGCTAATAAGAGACTTGTTCGTAAAGTCTCTTATTCGCAGGATCAAAGTAGGTTTAGTGACCCTGTGCAAGACTCGTAATTATTATAACTTGCATTCTTTGAGGAATAAGAGTGAGCTACACCCATAAGTGGACTGTAATGGTAATAAAAATCATTTGTTACTAGGATTTTAGACATGGCACGGGAATTCCTGTCGAGCACGTCACCTCACGTGCCACGTGTAACACTGACACGCACGTCACCTCTCGTGCAAGGATGATCATCGTTCAGGTTATATGTTCAAGTACCATTACAGCCCCCTTGTTTTAGATATTTGCATCATTGCAAGCGCTGAAGCTGGTAGTTGTATGGTGACCATCCACGGGCTGTCACCATACAACTCTTCCCCCCCCCCCCCCCCCCCGCACACACACACACGCAAGCTTACTACTCGCAATATTAGTGTATAGTATAATTGTATGAGGTAAAGCAAAGGACACGTTTGGTTCAAGTATTCTGCTTCTTTCCGTTGGCACAATTATGTATTTACAGAACGTGAGTGAATCATTTAGAGTTCGACTCGAACAGAAGAAGAGCGCGAGGTATATACAGTGTTCAAGAACTGTTCGAACATAATCATTTATGCGAGTCGCGAATAATGTGCTTTTCATTCATAAACAAGTGGTTTGGTGGCTGAATTAACGAGCAATGGACGATTTGATTATATGGACGGGCAGGGAGAATGTTTTGCCGTCCAAGTGACAGAGGGACGGGTCAGCATCGTTCTCCACCTGCCTGTGGCAACGACTTCGCGGGCGGGGCGAGTTGCCATGTCGGGGGGGGTTGAAGGTATTACTAGTAGGTGAAGCAGTAGCGCCTTAGAGGTCGTCTTGTCGTCACGCTTTCGAGGTCGTCGTGTCACTGCAGCTGCTACTCGGGTTGGTCTGTCTCCTCGGTCGTCTCTCTTGAAGGACAAGACAGTTGCTGGTAATTGTAGCCAACACACACTCAACAGGTTCGTATGGATGGTTTTTGGCTTGGAGTCGTGCCTGCAGTTGTAAATTGTTGTTCCGTAATATGAAACGAGGGGACGTCTCTTAGGACCCCTACTCTGGGATCTCCTCGTCCAGAGACCAGAGAGTGGGGTCTCTGGACGAGACCCCAGAGGAGGCAGGTTTGTGTTCCAGAGGCCAGCACTGATGTGGACGTTACGGGGAGCCTCGCAAGTGTAAGCAACTCTCGCATAATTTTTGCATAATGTGATGTATTACACGTGTTGCGAGGTGGCGGAATATGGGTGGGTTTTGATTATATAGCTTGGCTGTATCATAGCCAAGTGTGGTGTGTGGTTGACCCGCCGTGGCTGGCTGTGGTTGACCCGTTGTGGCTGGCTGGCTGTGGTGTGTGGTTGACCCGCCGTGGCTGGCTGTGGTGTGTGGTTGACCCGCCGTGGCTGGCTGTGGTGTGTGGTTGACCCGTTGTGGCTGGCTGTGGTTGACCCGTTGTGGCTGGCTGTGGTTGACCCGTTGTGGCTGGCTGGCTGTTGTGTGTGGTTGACCCTTTGTGGCTGGCTGTGGTGTGTGGTTGACCCGTTGTGGCTGGCTGTGGTGTGTGGTTGACCCGTTGTGGCTGGCTGGCTGTGGTGTGTGGTTGACCCGTTGTGGCTGGCTGGCTGTGGTGTGTGGTTGACCCGTTGTGGCTGGCTGGCTGTGGTGTGTGGTTGACCCGTTGTGGCTGGCTGGCTGTGGTGTGTGGTTGACCCGTTGTGGCTGGCTGGCTGTGGTGTGTGGTTGACCCGTTGTGGCTGGCTGGCTGTGGTGTGTGGTTGACCCGTTGTGGCTGGCTGGCTGTGGTGTGTGGTTGACCCGCCGTGGCTGGCTGGCTGTGGTGTGTGGTTGACCCGCCGTGGCTGGCTGGCTGTGGTGTGTGGTTGACCCGCCGTGGCTGGCTGGCTGTGGTGTGTGGTTGACCCGCCGTGGCTGGCTGTGGTGTGTGGTTGACCCGCCGTGGCTGGCTGTGGTGTGTGGTTGACCCGTTGTGGCTGGCTGTGGTTGACCCGTTGTGGCTGGCTGGCTGTTGTGTGTGGTTGACCCTTTGTGGCTGGCTGTGGTGTGTGGTTGACCCGTTGTGGCTGGCTGGCTGTGGTGTGTGGTTGACCCGTTGTGGCTGGCTGGCTGTGGTGTGTGGTTGACCCGTTGTGGCTGGCTGGCTGTGGTGTGTGGTTGACCCGTTGTGGCTGGCTGGCTGTGGTGTGTGGTTGACCCGTTGTGGCTGGCTGGCTGTGGTGTGTGGTTGACCCGTTGTGGCTGGCTGGCTGTGGTGTGTGGTTGACCCGTTGTGGCTGGCTGGCTGTGGTGTGTGGTTGACCCGTTGTGGCTGGCTGGCTGTGGTGTGTGGTTGACCCGTTGTGGCTGGCTGGCTGTGGTGTGTGGTTGACCCGTTGTGGCTGGCTGGCTGTGGTGTGTGGTTGACCCGTTGTGGCTGGCTGGCTGTGGTGTGTGGTTGACCCGTTGTGGCTGGCTGGCTGTGGTGTGTGGTTGACCCGTTGTGGCTGGCTGGCTGTGGTGTGTGGTTGACCCGTTGTGGCTGGTTGTGGTGTGGTTCTCTGATATTCTAATTGAGCTAAATATCACATTACCTTTCTTCACTAGTTGAACACTGAGGGAACAACGTCCTTGTATCTCTCGTACTCATCCGTGCTCTGTTTACACTTTCCTTATCTTTGTTACCACCTGTTGTAAAACTGTTCTTGCACATGGTTTACCTTTATGGTTTGTTCCATATGATAGCTCTATCATAATACAATCCATTCTTTTGTTTAGATAGTAGTTTTTGTAACTATGCGCACCATAGTACATAGATTGACGTACTAAGCAATTAGATAGTAGAACTTAGTACTATTCACTTCACAAAGAGTCGGAAAAATGAAGCTAAATACATGCTTAAATATTCCTAGGCCTAGTATAGCACACATATGTACTATATTAGGCCTCAGATATCGTGTGTTAGGTCACCGAAGGTTAAGTTAGGTTAGTCTCGTAATCTTAGTAATATTCTAAGTCTCATGACACTGTGCAAGTCTTCCTGGCTAGTTGCCGTTTTGATAGTTACTCCAGTATCTTTAAAAAGATACTGGATCTTTATCTCCAGTATCTTTAAAAAGACGGGCAAAAAATAGGTAGAAAATAATAGGCCATAAATGTCATCATTTTTGTATAAGTCAGATGGCTGCCGAGTGGTCTTATATTGACATTTGAACCGTATAAAACCTTCTTCCACTCCTTGTATTGCCTTGCACATTACTCTCACGCTGAAGGAGGTCTTCCACTTCCTTACCCTGATCTCGGACAGGGTATGGGGGGAGGGGAGGGGGGGGGGGTGATGGGGTTTACAAGCAACCTTTTCCTGTATACATCTAGGTATTTTGCAGGTTGTGATCAGGTCAACTATTTTTTCTTTCTTCGATCTTTCTACATTGTGTCTGCCCTTATTGGTCAAGCCCTCTATATCGGGGACCTAAGTGGCAAATCTCTGAACTTAATTAAGCTTTTTTGTGTGTTTAAGAGGTGTGTGTGTGTGTGTTTTGGATGGATTTAGGGGTAATGGAACAAATATTCCATTTATTCATGGATATGAACTTTAGAATTAGTTTTGCAGCTAATAAACACACCTGGGGTGATGGTGTAGTGAATATGGTGCTGTACTTGTTGCCAGGCTGGTGAGGACGGTGTTGACCGCCAGGTGGAGACAGCCTCGCCTCAGAGTGAGCCCAGCGAGCACCCAGACCTCCTCCACACCAACGGCCAGGTGAGTGGCGCACGCTGCCATACTTGTGGTTCCTGCTCTACTAATACCATACTGGTTTTAGTCTTTAAATCTTATTTATAACTAGCTGTACCAGGTCCCGCGTTGCTGTGGCTCAGCAAAACATGTGCATTGCTGAGCCACAGCAACCTTTACCCCCTGGCTCCCAGTCCTTTCCAGCATTCCTCCCCCTCCCTTCGTCCTTCCCAGCATCCCCCCCCTCCCCCGTCCCTTTGTCCTCCCCTCCATTCCCTACTCCATCATCCCATCGTTCTCCCTACCATTCTCCTCCTTTCCAAAATGTCAAATCATGGTGATTAGAGGGATTTATGAGCGCAACCAAATTCAAAGAAATTTGTATAAATGGAAAAAAAAAACGTGACGAGACAAGTGGTAGTTAGATCAGTTGAAGACGAGGAGTCACAATAACGTGGCTGAAGTATGTTGACCAGACCACACACTAGAAAGTGAAGGGACGACGACGTTTCGGTTCGTCCTGGACCATTCTCAATCGACTTTAGAATGGTACAGGATGGACCGAAACGTCGTCGTCCCTTCACTTTTTAGTTTGTGGTTTGGTCAACATAGATCAGTTGAACCAAATACACGCAGCCACATCTATACACACCAGCCGTCGTGTAGTAGAGTCGAAGGCTACAAACTGTGAGGCTGTGTGAATGGTCACTTTTACGGGCTATTCATGCCCGTGCCACTTCTTGGGTGGCGTAACTTTCTCACCTTCAGTGGTCACTTGCGCTCAGTTGGTTTACTGAGGCCTCGTCATAATGGTTTGTTGACACACACTGGGCCAACTTGTGACGCCATGTTGACATCTACATGGCGGCAGCAGGATGGAAAGTTTAACCTTCATGTCTTCCTCCTCAATACGGCTCTAGAACCAATTTTGACAGTGTTTCTGTCAATGTTATTTTTCTTTAGCAATAACCAATACATGTGGATTTTATAATCCAACATACATAAATATAAACTTAGCCGACATTATTATTAACTTCAGTAAATAAATAATTAGAAACCGATATAATTTTAATATTGCTAATTGTTCCATGTTTGAAATTAACCCAAGATGTGCATTCTAACGAGCCTCTCGTTGAGTGTCTGTCACCTCCCCCCTCCCCCTACAAGAAGTAACCGTTGTTGTTTTAGATTCAGCCACTCGGAACACAATGTCTATGTAGCACGGGCTATATAGAGCCCCTAATTGAGTTCAGTTATTCGCGATAACCTTGTTACTGTCATATTTGGGGTCAAAGTTTTAAATGGAGGTGGGGTTTCCTCCTTTTACCCAGTTTCTTTTCCGCTTCTGTTTTAGCGCACTGGTTTTAGTCTTGTTTTAATAACATTATGTTTTTGGTGGATAGATGCACAGTGTTCACTAGTGTGTCCCATTCTTCAACTGCTTTTCTAACCATTGTAGTCGCTGTGGATTAGAAGTAACTTCTTATATGTTTTATTGATTCAGCTACTCGGAACAAGTTCCAAGTAGCACGGGCTATGGCGAGCCCGTAGTGGACTTACCTGCCACACAGGAGCGGGGCTCAGATGTAACTAATGTCTTGTGTTTACGCGTCCAGCGAGAGATGGACGCCAGCAGCGACGAGGGTGTGGTGACGGAGGAGGTGGTGGTGCCGCGACGCGTGGGCCGGAGGGACGCAGAGCCCTGGGACACACTCTCCCTCGACGCCACCGACGAGGTCAGTACCCATGTTCACTTTACCTGTAGGCAGTTTCGAGAGTTATTATGCTCTCCCTCCCCCCATGCCTAGCCTGGGGCCAGACTTTTCTTCCGATAATTTGATCTGAAAGGCTGTTGCTGGGAGCGATTCGCATCAGGATTTCCGGATGTCATTTGTCGGTGTTGCAGTGCAGGCGGCCTTGATGAAGTCTTGATGTTGCACATGCTTGGTTATGTTTACCCAGCATCGTGAGAGAGCATTGTTGATGTACACATCGTGCAGGCTGTCGGATTATGCACCGTTGGATATCGGTAGTAGCCGGATGGGTGAACGGACGGACGCAGCTCACCCTTGGCTATGGAGGATATCGATATTTACGGGCGCCAGGCTATCGACGGAGGCGACGCCATACTATACCATAACTATATGCATCAGCAGACTCCGAAGACAACCTGGTATTGTAACAAGTGACTCGGACCCTGCCCGACAACGGTCCCAACTGGCTGCCAGCGGCACAGTCGATACGGCTCTGTGAGCTGGAACTGGGTCATGCCCTAATTACTTTATTGAATGTCCAGTCATTAGACCCTTCAGACCAGACGACATGAGGGAATCCCGGAGCGTTGCAATTGCTTGAACCCCCCACCCTCGTGTCCTTGGTGTTGTCATAATGCACTCAAAAGTTTGCCATACATATGACTACCTGCAGCCAATGTTACTCTTCATGTAGTGTAGCGTAGCTGCATAAGCTCCAAGGTACTTTACCTGAATATGTTAAAATATATAAACAAAAAATTTGTTCTTTGTGAAGCTTGGTCCCGTCTAGCGTATGTGGCTGATGACATCCATTTGATGTGGGCTTCTGGGGACAGGTTCGGTGTGATATCAACCCCTCAAACCTTTCTATTAGACTAAAAAGGATTTCGCCTCCCAGATGGTACCTTGTGTTTAGCCTCACCACAAACGCTTCCTGGGAGAAGTCTCAACCCGCGGGAGAGTTGCAGCGCCTCGTCCCTCTCCAGAAAGACATTTTTCGTGCTCAAGACTATCTGGCTCTCCTACACCTTTTCTCCTCCTTGGTATCTCGCTTCCCAATCTTCGGGCTTCTAGAGACATTTCTCTCAATACGGCCTGAACGGACAATAGCGCGGTGTCCTCGTGTATTAGGTTCTAAATACAACTATTTGTTATTATTAACATGAGTACATCAGCACTTATGCTGGTACTCTGAACTATGTGAAGTGTTACGCAATGTGTATACAGAGCTAAGCTCTGATGATTTCCAGCTCATGGGATGGTTGACATACAGGGAAGGAAGAAAGGAAACTATAATGGGAAAGCGCCAAGCAATTACCACTATATAGCACATGGAAGGGGTCGGGATAAGGATTTGGGATGGGACGGGAGGAAAGGAATGGTGACCTTTCCACCACTGACCGTCCGGCGCTCACTTGGCGGGTCGGGGATTGAACGCCGACCCGCACGAAGGGAGACGGTCGCTCTACATGGGTATGTGGTCGGTTACCCAGCACTCAAACTATGAGTATTACTGGGATGCCCTCAAGCTCCAGGTGTATCATACAGGCGAGTCTGAAGGGCCTACATTCAGTGTAATGTTTGGAAGCTTGGTAAAGGTTAGATGTTTACACCCTGTACACGCTGCTGCCCGTCCTTAATAAAAAGGTCAAATGCTCCTTAATCCAGCAACCAGACCCCCCCCCCCCTCCCAACCCTCTGTGAATGAAAAGCAGTTTACACACGACTCGACTGATGGCATTCATAGTGCTTCGCTGACTGTCTCTGTTCAGATCTCAACTCTGAAAGTAACCCGTCCTCAGACCATTCCATTCCATTCATGGAATGGACTTGCTTCATTCCATAATATTAATGAATGAAAAACTGTTGACATGCGACTCGCAACTGGTGACGTTCGGACACTTCCGGAACAAGTGCTGCACTGACGAATTTTGTTCGAACCACAACGCTGTAAATGCTTCACTCACGTACTACAAATACAAATAATCGCCAACAGAACCTAAACACCTAACCTAAGCCTATATATGCACAATATGCTATTATAATATTAATTTATTTGAGAAAATTCCCGTTTTGAATGAACAGCATGTTAAAATTGATGAATGCGTCTGTGGGGTCGACCGCTGGATGTAATGGACTTGAGTCGAGGACGGGCTGCTGCAAGTGCGTCACCCACATACAATTAATCTGCAACAGAACCTACACACCTTTCCTAACTTATGCCTACGTTTATATTGAACTTAAATATATAATATTAATTTATATATGATAAACCTCCTATGTTTAATACACAGTAGGTTAAAATTGATGACGGCCTCTTTGGGGGATGATCACCGCTTTAACGAACTTAGCCAGAGACCAGGTGGACTCAGATCAGGGGTTGTACACGTTTCAATTGTTGTCACACAAACTACCTGGAGAACATTTTTATTCATAGCATGATCAATTGATAATTATTCTTCCTAATAGACTTGGGAACTGGATAACACTTTTGGAAATAAGTCGGTTAATGTTTTTTTTTTTATTCAATTCTTGAAGTACGTAAACGATTCTAACATTTGGACAGAAACATTAAAGAAAAAAAGGTAAGGCTTTAAAACTATATAGAATAGCAACGCAGCCTCTTGAAACGATAGTACTTATTCGTACTTTCGTCCAAATAGTTACTATTTGTACTGATGGACCATCAGTAAACTACTTTTTGCACTGTTTTATAGTAGAAATAATATAACTGAAAACCAACTTTAAATATTTGTTCGTTTGTTTATTCGTTTAAATATTCTCTTGCAGTCCATCAGTGTACAATATAAGGCCTAAGGTAGCATGTATTAGGCCAAGGATTGTTAGAAGATGATTTTATGTCATTTGTTGCAGTTTAAAAAAAAAATCGTTTTTTACAAAAGTCTACTTTCTGGTCCACCACGTCACATTAATACTATCCACCAAGGAACTACTTACAAGTAACTACTGAAAAATGGTTACTTTTCATTTTAGGAGGCTGGCTGGATAAGTGACTGAAGTAAGGCAATACGGGCTCACCATAGCCTAAGCTACTTGGAACTTTTGGTTCCTGGTAGCGAATCTTTAGCAACAACGTCTGAAGTAACGCACCTTCACGATAAACTGTGGAACCATTCCCTCGTTATTTAGACAAACTCGACTTGGCGAGGAGCTGAACGTTGTGGGGTTTAATAACTGCTTTCCCAAAATACCCGCCAGGATCGATACTCCCGTGCAACAGAAGTAAGCTAAGCAGAAGCAACTGCTAGAAGGCTAATTACAAGGTAGGCTTGCAACCCCTTCCTCCCCTCCTTGGCCCGTTATCTTCCCCACCACCTCCAACCCCCCCCCCCCTTCCCCTTCACAGGAATCTGAGCTCACCATGCAGTGATGAGGTTAAAAAGAATCTGTTGCAGCTGAATGTGATAAAGGCTGTTGGGCCTGACAGACTCATCGTGGATACTGAAAGATGGTGCAGAGGCACTAATTGCGCCACACTATGGTGTATAACAGGTCACTGGAGACCTACCGGTAATCTGGAAGAGGGGCTAATGTAGTCCCAATATACAAAAAGGGTGACAGGCAAGAGGCACTGAACTACAGGCCAGTTTCCTCCAACTTGTATACCACGCAAGGTGATGGAGAAGATCTTGAGGAAAAGGCTCATAGAGCATCTGGAAAGAAAGTTTTCTAACACCCCACCAGCATGGGTTTAGGGATGGTAAATCGTGCCTCATAGGCTTAATAGATTTTTATGACCAGGCGACAAAGATTAGGCAAGAAAGAAGGGTGGGCAGACTGCATTTTCTTGGACCGTCAGAAAACTGGACAGTATCCCCATAAAAGGCCGTTACCAAAGTTAGAGAAACAGGCAGGAGTAAAGTGTACTCTAGTGGATAAGGGAGTATCTAAGCAACAGGAAACAGCGATAAACTGCGAGGAGGGAGACATCAGATTGGCGAGATGTCACTAGCCGAGTCCTACAGGGCTCGGTACTTTAACCCATCTTGTTTGATACGTGTAAATGATGTTCCAGAGGTCTAGATTCGTTCCTCTAAATGTTTGCTGATGCAAAAATTATGAGAAGAATAAAGACATAAGATAGACTACAGGACGACCTGAACAAACTGGTGGAATGGTCTTGAAAATGGCAACTTAGGCAAGTTTAAATTAATGAAATTAGGCGAAGGTAGCAGGAGGCTAAGCACAAGGTACCATCTGAGAGGCGAAATCCTTCTAGAGTCTAATAGAAAGGTTTGAGGGTTAATATCACACCGAACCTGTCCCCAGAAGCAAACATTAAAGGATGTCATCAGCCGCATATGCTAGACGGGCCAGCGTAAGAACTGCCTTTAGAAACTTGTCCTGAACGATTTCGTATACCTTGTATACCACTTATATCAGACCAATCTTTGAGTATGCAGCTCCAGCCTGGAGTCCATACCTAGTTAAACACGAGGTAAAGTTAGAGAAGATTCAGTGGTATGCCACCAGATTCGTCCCGGAACAGTGGTATGAGCTATGAGGAAAGGCTACGGGAGCTAAACCTCACGTCCCTCGAAGACAGAAGAGTAAAGGGGAGACATGATTACTGTTACGAACCCTTCACAACTTTTTTTTTTTAAATTGTACGATCCTACTCAAGTTCAGAAGACTAACTTTGGTGGAAACATAGTTTAGTGTAAGTAATAAAAAACCACTTAAAATTACCGGCTCGTATTACCCATTACCATTAATATATACCAATTTCTATGAGAGGTCATCCAGAGCGGGGTCACTAACCCTCACGTTAACTAGCTTCAAAGATGACGGACACTGTGCCTCTGACGAGGTCTTTAACGCACCACTAGCTGCAATTATGGAGAAGTCTTCAAACGCTCCCCCTCCTTAGCGCACTCGCCAGTACGTTCAACCAGCGAAGTCCACAGCACTAAACTAGCCCAACTGGCTAGCACCTTCAGGTCGACCAAAGTACTCTTCCA